TTGTAGAGTGATGACTAAAGAGAGAGGAAATATCAGATGTGGACCTTGTTTCCCTTCTCCTGCCTCATTAGGGAAGGCCTGATGAAAATTAATGAAACCAAGAAATAAAGAAAGAAAGAGAAAAAAATAGTTTATAACTTGACCATACATTTATAAAACCATAAAACATTTTTAATGGTTTATAAAATTAGCAAACCCTAAATAACCAGAAATTGGGGGGGGGGAGTAGAAATCTGTATATATCTTTGAATATATTTAGCATCCCACCAAAAAAAATGGGAAATAATTTATTCAATTAGAATATAAAAAATTCACTGAGCACTAAATGGATTTTCAGAACACATGACTTTATGTTTGATTACATAGTAAACATACCAGGATATTCACAGTGTAGTAAGGTTATTATTAAGGACAATTTTTATTTGACTGATGCAGTGTGGAAGTCTTGGTTACTAGATTGTACTGCTTTATTGAATCCTACCTAAACTGGTATTTCAGTAATAGGATTTAAATTTGAGATAATAGACTTGCCCTTAAAGAGTTACAGAGTCTTTCCAAATTCCCAGCACAATGTTAAAGGTTTCTATTTAAGGGAGGGAGTGTGTGAGGAGGGTGCTGGGAGCTCCTATAAAAAAGTTATTTAGGAGCCTACAGAGGAGAATCTGTCATAAACTAAAAAAATATAAGCCAGAAGTTCAGTATTGACCTGTAGTTGGCAAATCAATTGACTATATGAAAGTCTCTTTGATACAGTTCTTTACCGGACACTTCTGTCTGATCCTACCTTAGGCTCAGTTTAACAGACATTTTTGAGAGCCCTTTATGAGCCGAGCACTGTGCTAAACATTAGAGATGCAAAGTGATCAAAATATGGTCACTGTCCTCACAGAGAGATAATCACAGCACACATAGATAAGGGCAGTCGAAGAGATGGGGACAGGGTGCGACAGGACAGCCTGAGAGGGGCCCAGGGTGTGGAAGAGGGCGATGGGGAGGTGCAGGTCAGGGTTAGTTGAAAGAAGTGATACCTAATCTCATACAAACTGCGTGTGAATTTTCATCTCATTAAGGACAAATATAGAACAAAGATTGTTTATCCCATTATGAGCAAATATTAAAATAAAAATAATTATTCCATCTTCTAACGTAATCAATAGAACGAATGGTATATATATTTTGAAGCTACAGTGGGGGCTTCATTGTTATTCAGCCAGGTTCTAAGAAATAAAATTCTTGGAATTTGCTCAGACTCATGCCAAAGTGTATTGCTCAGAATCAGATTAAATTTACTGTACTCTTATCTCCCAGGAAAGTGATAGAGCGGATGCTTAATGTATAATGCTAATATAGAAATAAGTCGGAAGCCAGATAGTCTCCCTGTTCTTTTAGAAGTAATTCCTTAGACTTTAATCCAGGCTTACAGAGCAGATGAGTTTTCATTTGCACAATCTGTTTTTACACAATCCATGCAGTCTGCACTTTGCTAGTGCGGAAACTATCTCAGTTTCCACTTCCTTCCATTTGATTTGGCAACAACTCTAGACGTCCACAAAAGCTATACGACGGCTGTTGTTGCTGAATGCTTGAACTGCTTGGGAGTAGGTTTTGTGATTTGTTTTACCTCCATGGTTGTCTTAAAAGTTTATTCTATGAAAATCCTTGAGTCCCCCCCTGACTGGTAATGCATTTAGAAAAAAATGATGGTGGGGTTTTGGCACAGTGATTCCATGTGTTAGGAAGAGCTTTATTCCCAGAACCATTGTGGTAAAAGAAACCTTTGATAATCACTTAGTTAAATCCCTTAATCTCATCACTGAGAAAAACTGAAGCCCTGCGAAGCCCAGAGGGCTGCTCACCTCCAAGCAGCAAGAGGCTGTGGTGCCAGGACAGAGAGCCTTAGCCTTCATCTCCCAAGATCAGGGTCCCTTACACTTTAATGTACATACAAATCTCTTGGGGATCTTATTAAAATACAGATTTTTATTCAATAGTTCTGGACTGGGCCCTGGGATTCTGCATTTCTACTAACAAGAACCCAGAAGATGCTGGTGTCCTTGGTCCGTGGACCCCACTCTGAAAAATAATAAGGCTTTACGCTAAGAAATTTTATCTGAGTGAAGATCAACGTTAGTGACAGGATAGTTCTGGTTCAGACATAGCTGATAATTCCAAAACGAATTGGCATACCTTAAGCTCTAGTGTTACTGCACCAAATATTCTGTATCATTTTATGATAGAGATAAACCACCATCCCATAATAGTGGTTCCTAGTTTCCTAGGAAACACTTAGAATTTCATACTAATTACAAAATTGATTGGATACGATTTTTGATCCCCTTCACCTAGTCCTGTGCCCTCTGATTTCAAAATTGTCATCTAAGAGGCATCAATGACAATTTTCTAATAAATTCATATTCCTTCTCTTAAGGGACTCCTGATTCCTCAGCTACTTGCTAATTTCATAATCCTTAAATAGGTGATTCCTGACCTCAAATGTTTCTCTCTCTTTCTCCTCCCCACACACAGACAGACGCACAAACACACAGTATTCACATATCTTATACCATGTTCTTTGTATGAAAAAGTTGGATTATTGTGTGATCAATATGAGATTTTTAATTTTTTTCAAGAAAGCAAACAGGTAAAATGAAACAGTCATTGTAGAATATATCTCTAATTCTGAAATTACCTGCTTAATTGCATGTTATGACTATATGGGTTTATAGCCCTGGTTCAGAAACAAATACACAAAAACTCCAAATACTTCAGAAATTATTATGTCAACTACATTATATGGAAAGTAGGTTTCCATGTATTTTTCTTGCATAAATCTGTGAAGGCGTTCTTATTTAGCATGTAGAGTGACATCTTTATGAGGAATGACCCAGCCTGGAAGGTCAGAGTTCTTATTTCTGTATTTGTCTCAGTAGATCTTCCTCTGTTTACTGCAGCAAAAATATTCTAACAAAAAATAAGCAGTTAATTCATGTAAAAGTGTTTTGAAGAGTTTAAAAGGGCCATATCAATCAACACAAGATGTTTGTTGTTAAGCTCATCCATATGATTGTTAATGATCATTTATACTTTAAGTTTACACAGGTACTCGTGGGGCTGAAAATTTGGAACTGCCAGCATTTTATCTTGCATGCCTTTCTTCATGAAGTAGGAGAATTATATGTACCAAATCATGCGATAACATTTTTTTGCATCGAATTTGCCTTTAAGGGAAATTTTTAAAATTTTAAAAATACTCTTATATTAGTAAAAACAAATAGTTTATTCACAACTCTTCGATGCCAAAAGATAGTGTTTATTCTTATTTACCCTGGAGGAGAAAGGGTTGTGTGTAAATCATGAAGTATGTGCGATCAGAACTAAATCATTTTGAGTGCTTTGTGTAACATTTGTGGTATAGATGAACTATTAGTAATAATCACGGCCATGGGTGTCGAGCGTCTATAAGTATATTGCTTCCTAGAATTTTTCTCTGGCCCCACTTACTGGAGCATGATAGTGGCTGAAATGACATCAAGTACTACTGCAGAAATGTTAATGTTTAAATGTTAAAAGTGTATTTGCCTTTGATTTGGGATAACTGAATGAAGTGAAATTTGTTCTAATAAAAATCTGCCTCTTTCTGTCTTTCACCATTAAAAATGAGACCTAATTTGTTACATATTAAAAAATACAGGGAATGTAGTTTTTCTTGTCAGTGATCATTAGGTTGTGAAAATGCATGACTTCCATTGTAATTTGATGAGTTAACTTATAACATAGAAATATCTGTAAAATAAGTACAAAATTGAGTGTCTATAAAAGTAAAGGCTCAGAATCATTTAAGTAATTGAAGATTATGGGTGGAACCATGTAAGCTCTTACCAAAACCTGTGGTTTTTTTAAATTATTTTTTATTACAGTTGACATTCACTATTATATTAGTTTCAGGTGCAAACGTAGTAGTTAGATATTTACATACCTTACAAATTGGTCACCCCTGTTACCACAGGAAAAGTCAGTGAACAGTGGCAAACATGGAAATGCCAGAAGGAAAGTGACAGCTGCCCGGGTCTTGCCTCCCTACTCGATGTTTCAACCTCACTCTAGCTAAGTTTGGGTTAACTTACAAAGACTGAAACAAGTAACAACAGAAATGTATACCCCACAGTTTTCATGGGACATGGTTTTCTAAATGTTTTGTCTGTTTCTTCTCTTCATGTTGTTCGGCCACCAGGTCATTTGTAGGACTCTCCATATGCCATAGGAGGAAATTGCCAGTCTGAAAGTTCAATGTCTTTAGCGTTCTGTTGCTTATCACATTTTTGCCCTCTAGGTGCCAACCTGGATTCACTGGAGCGAGATGTACTGAGAATGTGCCCATGAAAGTCCAAAACCAAGAAAGTATGTTAAAATAATCTGACAATTTGCTTTCTCCCCCAAACTACAGCAACAAGCACTACCACTTGGTGTTTTTACAGCTCAGTTGTAACTGATTCCTTTTGTGCTAATTATGGTTTCACCACTCGGGGCATAAAGCATCCAATCCGACCGACCTTGTTCAACCATCTCGCAACATGGGCCCCAAAGGCCATAAATTTAAAAGAATGACCAGCAGGATGGCCAGGGATTCTGGCAACCACAGCAGGGAGGCCAACACCAACAACAGACATTTTTCTTCCAAATTTTTGACTGTAAAGTTATGAGATGGAAAACCGAGATGAAGAAAAGGTCAGATTTAAAATCCTTTAAGCGGCTCCTTTTGAAAGAAAGCAGCCACTTAAAACACTGGGATCTACAAACCCAAGGACCGCCTTTGGTCCAAACATCTAACCCTTCGGGGCAAACGCCAGAGCCTGAAAGCCATGATTAGGACAAAGACTCCGTTCCTGAGGGTGAACTCGCCAAGCTGTCAAATGACACTGAAGGAGCTTCTTTCTAGCATATATTCACCTCTTCTCTTTTTCTCTGTTTTTTCTACCATTGTTTTTTGTTTCTTCTCTCAGGTGCCCAAATGAGTTTACTGGTGATCGTTGCCAAAACTACGTTATGGCCAGCTTCTACAGTACGTCCACCCCCTTTCTGTCTCTGCCTGAGTAGGAGCATGTTCAGTCGGTGCTGCTTTCTTGTTGCCGCATCTCCCCTCAGATTCCACCTAGAGCTAGATGTGTCTGACCAGGCCTAACATTGACCGCCTCTGCCTGTCGCATGAGACCATTAACACAAGCGATTGTATTACTTCCTCTGTTTGTGACTAGTTGGCTCTGAGAATCCGATAGGTGTGTGAGGCCCCCGATGTTGCTGAAATTCATATTGGAATAATGTGATGCGAAATGAGAGTCACTATGCAGCAGTGCAATTATAATAAAGGCATTGAAAAGTCTCACTTTTATTGATAAAATAAAAGCATTCCACCGAGCAGTCCATCTTCTTTATGAAATGACAACATCCTGAGAAAGATGTTGCTAAGTTGTAACCCATATGCACTTGAAATGATGGTAAGTTCATTTTGATTCCAGAATGTATTTATAACAAATAAACATAATAAAAAGAGTTCAGATGTTTTTCTTCATTAACCAGCAGTTTGCATTTAGGTATTAAAAAAAAAAGCTCTGAGTTAGGAAAATTAAAAACAAACAAACATTGCACGGCAAATGAGACAGCCTGGCTTTTATATATGTTGCTTAGGAAACAAGTGATTCAGAACTAGTTTAAATAGTCATTTATTTATGTTAGCAGGGCTTACTGCCAGTTTCAATGGTAATGCTAGGGGATAATAGGTGTTTTTAAAAATATTTATTGTTTACTTTGAAATATAACAGTTCACCTTTAGATATATATTTTTAAACACAGAACCGAGAAATGTTGATGTGTTTCTGTGGCTTCATGAAGTTTCGAGCATCATTCCTAAGCAACCCAGTTCCCATTGCATGTGATGGCATGGATAACTGAACTGTGCACCCGCCCTTCTATCGTGAATTGGGACTATAGCTCTTGATTTTGGAGCTTCCAAAGCATTGTATTTATAGATTCCATAAAGCTATCCATTTAGAGCAAAGGTTGAGAACTTTTTTTTTCTGTAAAGGATCAGACAGTAAATATTTGAGGGTTTGCAAGTGATATCATCACTGTCACGATGACCTAACAATGCCATTGTAGCACGAAAGCAGTCATAGATAGTGAGTGCACAGACTGATGAGCCTGGCTCCCTGCTATTAAAACTTTACTTACAAAAGCAGGCAGCTGGCTGGATTTGCCCACCTCTGATTTAGATTGTCAGTTGCTCACCCTGAATAATATTACACGTAGCTCATTGCAGTGTAAATTTATGTAACACAGGAAACAGTGATAGGAGCTGGTCATCTGGGGGCCCTAAAAGAAGGGATTTACCCTTATTCATACGCACGCGGAGGATAAGATTCTGTCTCTCAGGTTAACAGTCTTTAAATAATAAATCCCATGGAAAAATAAATTCCATATGCATTAGGGGGAGATTAGACCCATAGTATTGGTCTATTTATTATTGGTCTATAAATATCATTTATTTAGTGAAACGCTACTAGTTATATATTTACATGGGCTACATATCAAAGATTATGTTTTGGCCATTTTCTGTTATGAAAAATTAGTAAATTGATATTACTAAATTTTGAAATGCAGTCTTCACTTTATTGACAAATCTTAAAATAATATGCATTTAGTGGGCAGAATTTTTCTCTCCAGAGCTATAGATTAATTTTTTAAAAAGTAGATAAGAAGGAAAGTAAAAATAGAAGGGAAATAATAGAATTTCACTTAATATATTAAAGCTATTCCTTTTAGAAATGTGTGTTTGTATTCAAATAATATAGATTTAGCAAATCCATGTGACTGTATAAAAACAATGAAATATTTTATAATTTAATGAAAATTCTGAACATTTGCATTATACTCAAATTTTTGGTGTTAAATAGTCTCATTGTGCACTGAAGGCAATATTGGGCCACTATATAGAGAAAGTATTAAAAATGAAGATATTTCTAAAAATAATAATGCCATTGGATCTGACAGTTGTAACCCGAGAAAATATTCTCAACTTCTCTTTGAGACCATTTTCTTCTGTAAGATATTTAAAAAGAGCCACAGTATGTATTTAATCAGAATGTGATTCCTTGAGTAAATTCTTTAGTGAGCTTTCAGTGGCACTTTTGGAAGACATCCAGGAAAGCAGCGTTCCTATTTAACCTTATTTAACAAAGATTGATCGGAAGCACATTTATGAACAAAATCTGTAATGACTGTGCATCGGCTCTGCCTCGTGCCCAGAAAAGCAAGGGCTTCCAACCAGAAATGTTTCCAAACTTGTCTAGCCCAGAGTTAATTTTCTAACCTCCATGTCATAAATTCTCAATTTTTATTTCTGCAAACTCCCCCATAGACAGCAGGAAAATAAATGTTTCTGTTCTAAGAACTTTATGTTCAAGTAGCAGTGAGAGCTGCACAAAGAATAAAAAACGTTGCCACAGTGGTAATGTTTAAAATATACTTGTTAGTATCATAAAGTCCAAAACACATAACATAAATTTTAAAAGAAAAGATATTCCCCAGCTTTAAAGAGAAGTGTTTTTTTTTTACTTGCCAAACCACATTTTCAGTGGAAAAACAACATTCTAAAAGAATGTACGATTTTTACAACGCTTATTAACAAATAAATTACATTATCAGGATTTGATACAGCTTTCTGGTCAGAGTGTCCTATGGGGCCTTTTACTGATTTATAAAAACTGATTTAAATTATGAAAGAATGGAACAAATGTTTATTTTATATGACTTTCTTGAAGGCAGCTATGTGCCTTGAAATAAAACATATTTATAGTAATTTCTAGGAAAATATTGCCAAGGCTAGTTAGCTTCAGATTTAACCTATGGACACAGAATTCCTACTTGAAAGGATTGTGTTCATCAATGTGTGTGTGTGTGTGTGTGTGTGTGTGTGTGTGTGTGTGTGTACAGGCAATCCATAATCAATTTATAGACTTTATGGAGAGGGTGAAAAACACTGAAGGCTTCAATAGTTAGAGGAAGTATGGAACAAATATGTCATATATAAACTAACATGTAGTAGGAAGTAATTACAGAATAGCCCAAACTATAGAATATTTTTTAAGGAGTGCAATTTTAGAACTTTTAGGCACATTCTCAGAATGAGTAAACTTAGCAGATACCCTTAAAAGTAGTTTTTAATCAGAGGTTACTTCATAAATTACTTGTGTTAATATAAATCTTTTAAATGCTTTAAAATTCTGTTAAAGTTGTTCATTTAGTTATCAAACACATATCTTGCTGACAGTGGAATAAAGGCACACTCAGTCTATGACAAAGTTATGAATTCCAACTGAGAGTAGTGAGATTTACTGTGTCTGTGTTTGTGAGTGTGCTCTTGTGTTCATGGAAACGGGAGTAAGGAGAGAGCCTCCTATTACATTTCAAAAGGCCCAGTGGCCATATGGATTGGTATATGTGAAAAAAAATGTATCTACATTTGTAAAGGTAAGTTGAAAATTAAAAGTCAGACATTAAATTGGTTCCGTGTAGAACTGACATTGACAGAGCTCCTTCAGAAATCTCAGAGGTGCAGAAAGTAAAGGCTACACACAAGTCTTTGAGATTATTTCCATAAGGAGACCCAAGATGTGTAAAGGAATAAAATCCCGAAAGTCTTCAAATTTTAACAGGAACTATAATTGCATGGACATATAATTTTGGTAAAAGAAAGTTGTTTCATTGTTCATTTCTCTAATGGAATTGAAAATTTAAATTAACCTACAGGTTAATCAGTTTTCTTCAAACAATTATAAAATACTAAAGCAAAGGATTAGTGAGTCAATATTTAATAGTTTCTGAAGACTCTTCGATTTAAATTAATTTTTTATATTGCTTACTGCACAGCAGGAAATCACATGTAGAAAAGGAAACTAAATTGTTTACAGTAACCTTTGTGTTTTTGAATTATTAATTTAATTTGAAAAAATGTGGCTAGGCAGACGTTCAATAGGAAGCGTAGGATGCATAATGATCCTAAGCCAGCATTAGATTAAATAGACTGGATAGAAAGTAATAACCTCTTTATAAAATGAAAAGTGTTTGTGTGTTATGCTTTCCTTGACTCACAATGAAGAAGCGTAGCCACCAATAGTAAAAACAAATTAGAGTAGTGTTTGCTCCAGGTCTAGAATGACGGATGCATGTTTCCTCTGCTTGTTTCCTTGTTAGGGCTTATGGCCAGAAGAGATTCCAGTTTTAAGTACCAATTTCCCTTTGAATTATTTGAAATTGGAGCTGCCTGATATGAATGACTTCCCATGAAATGAAATTATAGTTAGGCTCACAGACTTACCTATAAATGTAAATGCAGTAATATGTATGCATGGGCATGCTACTAATTCTATTGAAGACTTAACCAAGCTTTCTATGCAACTAATATAGATCATTAGCAGTGTTCACGTAGGCATGCAATAATGATTCTCTGGAAAGAGTTTCTGTAGATATCTCTTGATTTTTAACCCTTAAATTGTTACTGACTGGTAGGAGGAAAAGGCAAGAAATAGAGAGTTTTCTAGAGAGAAATTTTGAGTCATCTCCTCATGAAAATGTGTGAGAACATTTATCATCGCTTCCTCCCAACATGAATTTTCATACCTATTGTTCCAAAGTTTAAATGAAGGGAACAAATGGGAAAAAGTGTCCATTTGTCAAATTGTTGCACAAAGGCAAGAGAAATGTGTTTGGATTTGGATACACTGCTTTGCTGTGAACATTGTGCAACCAAATTAACCCTACACCCTCTGGCTTTTAATTTACGAAAAATGTAGTTATTTGCCTGAGTACCCCAGACCGCAGGCAGAGGGGACTCTATTATACATAGTGCCCCTCATCATCGTTACTCAATGTACTACTTGATATGTATATTTTTTAATCTGTGAAACCTCATTTCCTTAAGAGGTGGCAAGTTTTTAAAGTGGAAATTCTTGATGTATCCCAGCTTCCAGTTTTCCTGGCCGTGAAATTAGTCAAAAGTAAACCTCCACGCGGTGACTGGCCCAAGGGGAGCGTCGGGACGTGTCTGTCCTCCAAGCTGTTAACCCTTCGGCCGTTGGCCAGCCTATTTCACGGCTTCTTTATTCCATGCCCTGCGAGGCATGTGTTAGTGTCATAAGCATTTTGTCAATGAGAAATTAACTTGTCCAAAGTCACTGAACAGGGAAATGGCAGAGTTGGGACCTGAAACCAGGACGACTCCAGCACTCGAGCTCCTACTCTTCCCTCTGTATGAGGCTTTGTCCAGGCCCAGACTGAGGGCTGTGTAAGAGAAATACCCCTCTGCCACACATTTTTAAACTTAAGAGGCACCTTGTGCTGTGTGTGAGCCACCCTGGTATCTCCCTAGCCCATGATCAAGGGAAGGAGTGCAGCCTCCTGGCCCGTTTCATTCTGCCCTTGCCTCCCCACCACACTAGGAGTTCCTAAGGGCCCCACATGGTGAAATTTGATTAATAATTTTTGTTTCAAGA